AAGCTAGATCGCCATGGAAAGCCTGCAAGCACTGAAAGGCCGTTTCATCATATTGTGGGATTCCTCAGCAGTGCGTATCCATGATCCCGCCTCGCGAGATTCCAACCCAGGACGTATCAGTCTTGCGCGCGAGTGCTTAACCACTAAACCACTGAGCTAACGTCCAACGATGTTAATATCTAACTTCAACTAATCCACGGAATCGATCGACACATCCACCATTGTCATCAGTGAGTTACTATCTCACAACAGACCTGCTCTAGCTTCAACTGACTCATGATCTCAACCATTAAAATTACTATAATTTCCACAAAATCCCTTCTGAAATAAAAGTTTTCTTTATCAATTCAACATCACTTACATAAAATAAACATGACAAATCATTTATTCTATGTATTCTTGAAAGTTTATTATCATTAACTAATCAAATTACATTTTATGTTAGTTCAATCATCTTGATAAAAATTATTTACGATAATAACAATATCTAAACAAATAATAATAACATTACGTTCCACTTGAAACAGTTCAATTTTTTGGTTATTATTTAGTTAATTTACAAGTGTATTTGATATTTTCTCTCTACTTCATGTTTATTCTCTAATAATAATAATAATAATAATAATAATAATAATAATAATAATAATAATAATAATAATAATAATAATAATAATACAAAACTGATGCTGTTTTTTCCTCTTCATAGAAGTAATTAGTTTACATGTAATTGAATCTTTTATATTGGTATATTGAATGAGCTTTAACAAGTTATTAAGGCTTATAGCCTACGTTATATATATATATTCTCTGTAATATAATTTACCAGATATAACATGGAATAAAACAAAACTAATTTATAATTTATTTACAGGTCAAATTATTATATTAAATCAAAACTTTATGTTTATTGAATCTATAATCGACTACTTTTTTATATTAAAGAAGATATGATTTAGAATACATAAGTGAAGGAGTGGATGAACAAACGAGAGATAAGATGAGAGGATATAAATCTCTGTTTATAATCACTTATATTGTTAAAAGATAATTATTGCTTTAGGGGTTTATCAACAAATAATGACAAGTTTTCAATAATATTTCTTCAATCATTCAGCTTTAAGGCATAGAAATTGATAAAAAGTTAACATTATCAATTGGAATATATATATATATATATATATACTGTGTGAAATAGATTTTTAATACTTGCTCTACTTTCAGTTTTAACTAATAAGTCAATAGGATAACGTAAATAGCTATGATTTTCAGTATTGTTTAATTGGAATATCATACTTACTAAATACATTTCTTTAACTTCTGTAGAAGATTTGAATTAGGTCTCCTAATGATGGAAGGGTTACGTTGATCTGTTAATTATTTCACCAATATTTACTATTATTATTGATCTTTTAGTAACCTTTAGATGGATTTATAGAAAAATCACTAAAAAGTGGATCATTCATTTATCACCGATCGCTTGAGTTTTGTTTAGAAAATATCTTATTTAGAAAGAGATAATTATTAGAGATATACTAATTGATAAATGACAAATAACCACCGTCTTGTTTACCACATGTCTAAATTTCACAGGATGCATCAGTTATCTCAATATTTCAGATATACCTTATGAAATTCAAACTAGAAAAGAATATCCATTCATGGTTTTCTAACAAATACCTAATTTCCATAGGGTTGGTAGTATGTGGATCTGCTCCTTTTAGCGAAATAACTAAACAGATATACTGAAAAAGAAACGGCTTGCTTCATAATCATTATTTATGACTCATTCATATTATTGAAACTTCCTATTATGTGAACTGGATTTCATTTTTGTTGGTGAGTTTCACTGAGATTTTTCAGTGAATTTTCTGAATCAAAATGCGGAAATAAAAGGGGAACCCAATAAACGGATCATCGTATCATACATACAGGACATGTGAGAAATTACAACAAGCTTATCGGAGCTGTTCAGAACAAGTGTAGAGCATAAGGTAACAAAATCACTTCAACCAACGATACATAAACCAAAGGATGAAATGCTGACAGAAGAATCGCCAGACATCTACGAAATAAAACGTCCCAGCTGTAAGAAACACTACATCGGTCAAGGTGGTGGCCCTCTACTTTGTATCCTTCGACACCGACTAGCTATCGAAATTCCGTGATATATCTTCTCTTATATCAATACACATGGACAGTTGAGGAGACATTCGATTGGGAAAATGCTGAGATTTTCTATAGAAAAAGTTAGAAGCTTGGCACTCAGGCCAATCAACAATCACTGAATACATTGAGATTGACCTAATTTTTCAACCAATTAAGGAAATCATGAACAGATATAAGATCAAGAATCAGGCCAAAGGGAGAAATAATCAAAATGATTATTCAGACGAGGACAGGTTAAGCGTCGACAATAGCCAATCAAGATTAGCATCAACAGGACAAGCTTTCAATCGTATGTGGAGAAATTTAAATACTTCAGTTCTATTTGAAGATTGTGCCAATGTTTTTATTCAGAACAAAGGATGCTTCGCAAATAAGCCACTCAGTTCACAGGATATGACAACACTTATGTTCAAAGTCATTTTGGAAAATGAAATCTTACATTATAGTTATTATTAATATCAAATGATTCGTTTAATTTACCAGTGATTAACACATATGTAGCTAAAACAACTAGACTAATATTTCTGTTTTAATTTTTTAGCTATTTTTCCATGGTATTTACAATTTTAATTTTAACTTTCTCCTTATTTATGTGTTGGCAGTTTGTAATTTCATTTAATTAGTCCTGTTGACAAAGTATAGACATAGTATTCTGATTAATTCATTGTATATATTCAGACTGTGTAAAGAATCATTATCAGATTAAATAATATAATATCCGTTTCCTGATTAAACATGGTAAATGCTAAAACACAACTTTACCACACCTAACTTCATGTAAATATTTTAATTATATTTTTAAGGAAACAATCAAAATACTCGATGTCTTAGATCATTATATATTAGGAATGATCACTAATTTATCGAACATAATAATGAGTAGGATAGAAAAATAGGTTAGAACTGCTTCTTGAGAAGTGAAAGCCCAGGAACATGTTTTAATCCACATGAATTATATTGTTTATACTGTTTGAAGAATTCAAAGACTATAAGCTTTAAGTAGATGATTATTTTTACTAATAGTAGGTATCACAGTTTTTTTTTAACTAAATGTACTGAGATAATATTATTTGTAGTCGTAGATAAACACTTATTTAGGCACTCTATAAGGTATTGATGAATATAAAGCATTGAAAGATGAAGAACTTTCAATAAAAATGAGTTCAAATGAATGGTTAAATTGATAAGTACGAAAATACGTATCTGATCTAGATAGATGTTCTATATATTTTTCAGTGTCTGAGTCACTAGTGACTGGATAGGAATCATTAGTTATTTGCTTTTGTTGAAAATTTTTTCAAACGTGTTGGATAATATTTAGAATTAATACCTTAATAGATGCGATCTTCAAGATCATATGCTAGTAAACTATAACTTATCATTTACCGCTCAAATATTTTTTTGGTTTCTATGGCTTTGTAACTGTTTATAAACGTCCCAGAGTATTCGTCTTCCTTGAGAATATCTAATAACAATGTTCAGTTCCTTTCTAATCACATTCACAGGATATATAATCATTAGTAATATATTCCTCATTACACTTATTCTACTAGACAAATACAAAGGAAAGTATATCTTCTAATCTAAAAACTTCTCTAGTTCAAATTCTACCATTTCAATTAATTTTTGTAGTTTTTTAATAACCATTTATCGAAATGGAAACCAATAGATTTTGTTTCACCAATATTTCTGCATTGAATTTCTTATGTTCATGTTTATTCTATGAATAATCAAAACTGCCAAGATTATTTCACTGGGCTGTCTGTCTAGCTCATGAATATCACAAGTATATAAGAAAAATTCAAAATTCAGTTTAACGCTATCTTCAACCAAGAAACTGTCTGCAATTTATCATCACATTATAAAACATTTATTGGGCAAAATAAATACATTACATTGTCATTAAATAGTGACACTCATTTACTTGAAAGAATAAATACCATTTAAAGAATTCGTTAAATTCGTGATTAGATACTTCGAATCTTTAGGCAAATATAACATATGAGAGAATCTTTGACGAAATTCTTGAAAAAATATGGTCAACTCAAAATCACAGTATATCAAATTGGAAATGGTAAAGTACGTTGATATTTGTTTATCCTGTCGTTTATCAATAAAAGATTTTAAAGTCTTTTCATAATGTACTTTGCAGAATAAATGGAGATAATTTCTTTTTCCTAAATGGATTTAGTTAATACGGAACTAGTGTCTAAAAGTATGTTCCGATTTTACTGTTGATTTTATACCATATCGAAATGAAACTGCATTTTTACATTACGTTATTATGTTTAACGCAATATATTCACGCTACTAACAAAATTTTAGTATTAGGATTTTTATGCCAAATATTTACGGACTCAATGTTTGATACATCGATAACTTGACATACACAATTCTTATTTCACTTTACATTCGGCGTTGCCTCATCCTTGACTTCTGGGTTAATTTTTTTAGTTGAAGACATCTGACGTTTGTTAACGTTTTAGAGTATAATAACAATATATTTCTTAAACTTAAGTAATTTCATTAACCATTCTTCTTAATTGACTTTCGTACCACAACCACTGCATACTAATCGTAAAAATATGAATTTTAGACTGGGTCACAACATAATTACTAATCCATTCCCGTAGAATATCCACACAAACAGGTTTTGGAAAAAAATATCACTGAATTTTTATTACTATAGGTGTTTTAAAGACCTCACTTTTTAAACGGAAACTCTAAGAAAGAATTATACAACTTCTTCAAAATTCTTTTCTTGTTATTCCTTTCTATATACTTTACTGATTATTGAATATGAGCCGTCATTTTAAATGGTTCAGGGACAGTGACTATTTTTGGGTATCGATTATATACCATGTCTATTAAAAATATTTTTAAAATGCTTTTTAGTTATTTTAGTAAAACTTCTGTTGACAATATATTTTAATCATACAATCAACGATTCTTTAATAATACATGTGCCGATTAACAACATATATGATGAATTAGTGAGATTTATTACTCGAATAGTTGTACTGAAAGTTGTCGAATACAAGAGAACTACAAACTCTGTCAGAGATCAAATGTAATTTCTGACAAAAATGAATAATCATGTATGTCATTTCAGTTACATGTTTGTCGAATGAAGTATATATCAAGTTATATTTTATTCACTTGGAGTCTTTGATGTATGTTTAATAACGCAGATATTTTCTACAATATATCTCTCAAAATATTTAACGGTAAAATGCCAAATATGAGTATGTTTATTCGTTATTATACAAAATGATCAAGTTTTCCAATGATTTTTGTTATTTCTTTCAGTTGACTTTTTCGATTAGTACAGCAATCTGAATAATTTAACCAGAAGTTGATCATTATTTTTGAGGGTAGTTAAGAAATCCAAAAATTTGTTAGAGAAGCTCTATGAGTTGGATACACAAAAACTGCTTGTTAAATTATGACCTTTTTTATTGTAGAGTTAGTATTTTTGTTTTTTTGCAATCATATTCTACTCGACATACGTGTTTGAATTATTCACAGTAGGTAACGAAACGGGAGTTCCAAAAACGGAAATCTCTTTGTTTGCTTCAATCATGGTAATATATCTTTTTTCATCAAAAAAACTACCGAAGGCAAAATGCTGACTAATTAGGATGTTGTTTATTTTTATCGTTGATAACTCTAACCAACGTCTAGAGTTTGATTGCTACACCATTATGCCCTGTTTGACTCAGGAATATCAACGATTATAAATTAAGGAAATCTACATCAGCAAAATGAAGCAAAGTTAGGAATAATAACAATAACGATGGAAATTTAAGTACAAAATTAAAAGAAACAAATCAAAATGAATTGGATAAACATTATATTTTTGAAGCGAAAGGTACTGAGTTCAAGTCTCGCTGTGAACAACACTACCGGGATGTAGACACATCAAGTTGAGAAGTTTCAAAATGAACGGGACCTGCATTGTTTTTTACTCTTAGCTATAATCTAGATATACTATCAAAGCATTAGCTTTAACCAGGTACGTTGTTTAGAGTTAGATGTACGATTAGGTGTGAAAAAATCTTAGTATTCATTTAATGAACTTATTGAATGTGATTGCTGCTAAGATTGTGAGTTTAAATGTTAATTCTTAGTTGTCCATGCAGTGGGAGTTAAATCAAAGGATACCAGATAAACATACTCCTTTAATGCTTATTATACAAGACAAACAATATCTAACTAGTGCAGATCAACACATAACCCCTTTAAGAATATTTAATTTTATATGCCTGCATGATATTCTAAACCCTTATTACGAAGTTGATTTATGTTTAGTACCCATACAGCCAGAAGCTTTTAGCCTTTCCTATTAAAGGTATTACCGTTGTGGTGTTCTGATATGACAGATATAAGAAGTATGTATCACTAATCGGAAGTCCAATGCCTGGCGCCAGAAAGTTGGTTAGAACAAAGAGAAGAAAATGGTTGCTGTGGAAACAAAGGAATAATGAAGTCTGAGACGATTGTTTGACATTTTGTAAACGAAGTATTTACTGTGTGGTTTACAGATTTGACTGAGACATACTGTAGTTTTGTGTTAAAATATATTTGGTTGTACACGCCTGTGTTCTCGTACACTACAGAATGTGTAAATATCTGAAGGAACGCTTACACATCTTGAACCCGATCAAGAAGCACGATTTAGATGCCATATATTAGGTTAGTATGCGATTCCCCATACTTAAAATTAGAGTTTGTTTGATTTTAACAGTAAATAGCTTAAGATTTTGACTAAAATGAACTCAAGGGACAATCAGCACAGTTTGATTCATCATTTAAACTAACTTAAGTATGAGTTCCATCTAGCAGATATAGACAACAGTTTGTTCATAGGTGCGAGTTTATTCTTGTCTTATTGAATCAAAATGTTATCAAGTTAACGTTTATAACGAAACCGTTCGTTTGTCTCACAATCTCCAACCCATTAAGTAAAGACATTTATTTCATTGTTATTAAGCACCCAGGACAATTAGCCATAGTGTATTTATACTCCAGGGATATGATTAGTCAATGATCTATTTAGCCTGCTCCACTTCACGAAGTTTTTCACGACCAGGAAGCCTTACGAATTTGGATATGCCGCATATCCAAGAGCCATCGGCACAGTTCGGATTCATTTTACAGCTTTTAAACGTGAAGTTGTCACAGATGGATTTATTTTCACTAGAATATTTGCTTTCTTAAAGAAAAATTAGGGATTTAATAAGACCTAACCCGAACCTAGCTTAGAGAACTGCCTTTTATCTTAACACCCTTTGGTAAGTGTAAGCGATCCTGGTGCATAAACTTTCATTTCATCACTGGGTTTTGTCTATTTGCACTACACAAGTAGGAATAACTCAAATAAAGTATCCTGAATGTAAACCAACCCCAAATGTATTCAAGGGATAATCAACAGTTACTCAATTTTATAACTTCAAAAGAAATAATATTATCAATCTGAGAAAACCTAAAATGTCGAGTGGGTTAAACATACAAAGCAAAGGATTCCGAAAAACTCACCCTCACCTTAGACCAAACCGTGTGTTGCGTTTTTGCCTATGCCATTATCTCTATTACAATAAGCTAGGAAAATATACACAATAGAAAGCCAGATAACTGATTACTAGTAACCATACTATTTTAGACCCATACTTTATATGATTATACGAACAAAATATAATATCAAGACAAACCACAGTGCTCCAGTATATACATAACTAAGGCATATTCGATTCAAACCAGACTAATGGTTAATCGACTGTAATTATTGAATGATAAAAGAGCAAGTAAGTGAATCAAAATTTGGTGTGTAGTTAGATTCGAATAAAGAATAAAATCAAGTAACTGCTGGATCAATAACCAAGCAATTAGACAAAGAATAACTTCAAGTTGCATATATCTTGTCTCGACTCAGCAGCACGCCTACTAGCAATCAAGTAATGATGAATAACGAAGTTCTTGTTGGCAGGATACTGATGGAAAATAATTGAACACTGTACATGCCACTTCATCAAATCACTTTGACAGATAACAAGCAGGTGATTGGATTATGTAGGAAACGCTAGGAATAATGAGATTACGGAGGTCAAATTATTTCCCTGACCTAGAGTTTTCAACTACCCTTAAGGCAATTACTTCTATGATAGTTCTAATAACTTGACTCAGCTATCATACACTAAGTCATCATCTGAACAAAAGAATTTTTTTAATTTGAATCAACCGTCGGACTAAAAATCAATGTATAACAAAAAAATTATGTTATGTTATAGGATGATTTAATTTACATAGATATGGTAAAATCGCATATTTAATGTGAACAATAAATTTGGATTTTTATTCATTAGAATAGAGAGAACAAGATTTTTCATTTTGATAAGTGTTCACTATATTCCACAGGTCACTTATTAAACGATTCTTGAGGTCAATGACATGCAAAAATAGGATGGAAATCATAACTATCTTTTGTATAGGAAATAAGATTCCGATTTAGTTCCAGTTATGTCATCCTTTAAAAAGGTAGCTAGGAATTTCTAGTTAGATTTCATAGAAAGTACATATTCTGGGCAACACACTACCAGACATTTTCCACCTTTGCCCAACTATGTTGTATCTTACTTAATCACTCCGAGACAATATCGCATCTGGATCGAATGTACATCAGTTCAAGTATCCACATTACATCAACACAAAAAAAGGAAATTACCATGATGAGAATCAGAGAGGTTGAAACGATAACAATAATATTGCTGATAGTGAAAGACAAAGTGAAGGCAAACAATTTAGTTGGATGGGACAAATTAACTCGATGACTCACATTTTGATTTGAATGTCGGTAATTTTCCCAACTTACTCCCACACCAAAAATCAAAATATGTAGGGTTAAATGATCTTTATTACATAAAAACAAAAACTTAAATATTTTTCCGAGAAAACACCTCTATGTTACGATTTCTGAGTGCGTAAAACCAAAACTACTAGAATGCTTTGTAATCACAGTAAATATTTATCACACCTTTAGTAACTTGTTTGTAGAAGATTGACAATTCTATACACTCAGCTACCAGGTGACTTTATGTATGTAGGTAGTCATATATATATATATCAAACGATGCAAAGTACTCAAATTTTCAGTGTTATATTAAATATTTTTCTCCGAAAAGAAAAGAAGTCCTTTTGAGATACACAATCAGCACGCTGGATGTTTAAGATATAGACAAATTCAAGGGGAAATTAAGTGGCAGACACAAATTAAGTAGTCTTTAAGGTCACAGTTCGTTCATCCAACTTCAAACAGATTTCCATCTACAGAAAATAGTGTACAGCTGAGCAGAGAAACGCCACAAACAGTAGACTTTCAGTATTCACGTAACAATACCGTTCATGGGTTTAATCTAAGATTATTGGTCTCGACCCATCGAATTTATTTGAGCTCGCAGGATCTTAGATGTCATATTTACAGCAGAAACAAACACAGGCATACAACGCATTATGAGCTAAATGTTATGTTGTGCATTAGTGTGAAACCTCTATAATTAATATTGTCATAAGTTAAATATTTACCTATTAGCTATTCAATTATGCAGTAAAACCCTAATTCGTTCTTTGACACTGAATTGGAGTATGATAAAATCTTCCCATTTTTGGCATCCTAGATGAGTGGAAAACAATTTAGTTTAATTTCATAAAGTTTGTTTCATTTATTGCAAAACGTCACTGACTTAATGACATATCAAGACACAGGTAGAGTCAAAGAATTACTTAATACCTTACTTCAATATACCGCTAAGAACTAATTATATCTGAATTACACTTTTTCGCGAGCAAAAACATGTCTACGTTAATGACACGAAATAACGGTTCTTAAAGCTGTACTTTTGGAATATTAACATAGATTAGTCTAAGAAAGCTAACACTAGATAAAAATCTGAAAACAATGACAAGTGAGAACAGTAGTTTATATCGAATTAATGAGATTCTGTATAAAAAATAACGTGCAATCAAATCACTGACAGATATCACAGATTTTAATGAAAACTGTACAATAAATTGAGACAAAAGCTCAAAGGACATCTGCTTAACCTGATAATTATTGTGCAAGGGATACACATTTCTGATAGTTATCATCAATTTTATTTCGTGAAATACTAGGGTCGGTTGCATTATGTGAATGTGAAGATAACAGGGATACTGGGTTGGATCCACGCTTCCGATTACGCTTGCGATGTCGAGGTTTTGAACGCTTAGATATTACATTCGTCGGTTTGAGATTGTCTTGTTTGCATGCTTTATTGTCAAGAGCTTTATTAACACTAGAGTGAATTTCCGTAGATTCATCATCTCCTGCCAACTGGGATGCTAGGTCAGCCTCGAAACCATTTGATATTAAATACTTCAAACGATCGAAGTAGCGGGACCTTGCTTCTATTTCCCAAATACGATTAGACCTTTCCAACCTGCTTGCTGTAGCATATGTATAAAGATTGTATACAGCAGAGATAGGGTTCCCCCTAGGAAAATGCACATGTTTTGGACCATCTAGTTTTCTTTCATTGTGAGAATCACAGGTATGTCGAGCGTCGTTTTCACTGTACAGATGTTTATGGTTTAAGTCATTTACACTGTATTTGAACGACCATTTCCTGTTGACTTCATAAAGTTGTTTGCTTATGAATTTTTTGGGTTCGGTGGAACATGCCTTCGTAGACAAATGATTGTGAGAACCTCCTGGATTTGACTTTACTATATACAGCTCTGGAGTGTGGATCTGAACAGAAAAAGTCTGTTCCGGTTCATCACTTTCATCTGAGGAGCTTGAAAGCTGAACAGATCGAAAGAAATCAGATTGACCCTGAGGGATTATTGAACGAATAGTTAAATCGAAGTCTAACCCATCTTTCCGCTCCGGAATACTAAAGTTGCCACTACAGTATAGCAAATCGAACAGACGACGTCCATGAGAAGGGCAGACCCAATACTGTCTTTTGATACAGAATTTGGTACTGACTACAGTTATATGATGATAACTAGTCTTTATATGCAAATGCAGAAATGATGCTAAGTTGGTCGCTTTCGTGTCTAGTTTTGATGGGCATTTACGATTTAGATTGAGGCCGCGTAAGACTGCTTGGATCGCTCTCGTAAGACTATGGAAGGGAACAGAAGGGATTAAACTTTTCCGAGGGCTTAGTGCCACAACTGAATTTGACCGAAGTTCGTTGGCAGCAAGTTGGTGATAAATGCGTCTGAACCAGCAGTCCCTACACTGAAGTAGGTCCCACAATATTTGAAGGTCAGTGGAGGGAAGAAGCGAATGTGAACCAAAATGAACTGTGGGTCCGACTGACCAGTGTTCTGCCATCTACAAACGAAAAGAATAAGCAAAATGGAACACTGAATAGGAACTAATTGGAAACCAATTAAAGGTATTTTAGGAATAAATATTCTCTTAAAAAACAAGTCACAAGTATTCTGAAACGTATATGTATTCATGAGTATGCAGTTTTTAAATTTCTGCTAGATATCCTGAGATCTTGAGGACACGCTTTAGTACGACCGTGAATTTTATACATCAAAACATAGCGTGTGAGTGTTAGTTACTAAGACTAGTGTTATGTCTTGTTATTGGGGTTCAGTACTGACTACGGTGTTACGAATCTAGGAACAAAAATGATTGAGCCACTCTAAAACAATTGTTTTTTTTTCGGAACTGACAACAATCAATTATACCCAACGCATGAAACCTCGGTGGTAACATTAGAAGAGGTTTTCGCCTTTCCAATGGATTTTGACTATTCTTGCGACAGTCTTAGCATCTAGTGACCACAGTGCAGCTTGATAGAATAGGTACTAAGGAAACGTGACACTATTTATTACTCTGTGACCAATATTTACTCGACGATAAACTTCGAATAACCCTTCATAAATAAACGACAATGACTGGTTTAATTAGTCAAGATAAATTTGATTGCAAACAAACGTACTTCACTCTTCTCCTTTCTGATTCAGAAATGCGGCCATTGAATAAAAAATGTGACTAACTGGAGTGTTCAACCATATTAGTCACTTAAAATAATTGTTGCCTCGTTATGGTTTCCTGTATATACCGTTTGCAAAAATGGATTACCTATTGAGTTAATGAACACAAGTTTGAAATATCTGACATGTTTTTAACAGTGGAAATGATCAAACACTAAATTTGAAACTGTGACTTTAGAACGTGACACCTGAACCGAACAGTCCATTTTTTTCCTGAGCGATAATGGCGATCAAAACTCCAAAACCATCAGACAGCTATAACGTAGGGTATGGTATAAATGTGCATTAATTTATACTAATCATACCAGCACAGAGAAACGCAAGTAAAAAAATGAAAAAGAATTCATATGGTGTCTGTGGTAGTGACGTCTTTAGGTATTAGATGGTAAACTGGAGAAAATTTCGGTTGACTAGGAGTCATTTCTACTCCCTTGGTAATGCATCAGCTGTCAAGAAGAATATGGTGACTGTCATTCAACTCCCATCAAAGTTAGGCAAGTAGTGACAAACATAAAGCAGGTTAAAAGATTAGGATGTGATAGTTTACTTTAAAATCCTTCAAGAGTGATGATTATCAATTACTAGACTCAGTAAAGTTACTAAAGGGTTAGGAAAACAATAGATAGTTTTGGCAAAATATTTCCGACTATTGATCATTTCAAAGGTTTTTCTATATGGTCACCGCACCAAACCGTTTGTTTGGTAGTCTCTTATGATTCAAAGGAATTCAAAAAGCAATGTCTCAGATACGAGAGAGTTAGTTGACCAAGTCTTTACTTTACGGCAGATTATAAAGCATCGTTATCAACACTAAAGCGGTTATGTTTGTTAATTTGGTGTGGCTTATGATTTAACTGTTTGAGAAGACCATCTGACATGAGCTGTCCAATAGAACAGGGTTTTTATTCTAAGAAAATGACATGGTCATATGCAGAAAATTTTACTCAGAAACATACATGATTAGAAGTCATTTGACAAATAAGCGACTGAAGAATGTTACGACTATAAGTCAATCACTCGCCAAAGTAACTAATATCTAACTATTACGATTAATTCTTGACTCTTTATATCAACTGAAGATACAATAGTTTAAATGTCTAGAAAAACAAGTTCCATAACTATCGAACACGTAAATAGAGATTGAAAAAAAGCTGAGGACTAGTTTGTCTTAGACATTGATGTAAATATAAAATACTAGACTATCGACAGGTTTCAGAGCACAACTAAACAACCTTATCTTGTGAATGTTTCCAACTTGATCAATCATCCTCATGGTTTGGAGCATTGCATAACATCATTATTTCTAACCCACCAGTTCTAACAAAAATGCAAAATACTTTGATAATAACTACCAAAACTTTGCAAGCCACACGCCATCAACGATCTTTAAGTTGTACGGAGAGTTACGCGCATTACTTGGCAGTGTACTTGCCTCGATGGGTTTAACATATACCAAGTTATACAAATTGTTGCCCCGGTTTTGTTTTAGCGAAGGGGTGAATATTCATTAGTACTACGTAACCTCGAGGCAAAAATGAAGTCCAATTGTGATTGGTCACGTTTTCCGAGAAAATGACTTTATTTTTCCCTCAAATAATTCTGCGGCTAGCAACAGATACATGGCAATGTATATATGGTTTTAACAGCTAACCTTTTACGTAAACGGACTTGAAAATAGAATTCCACGAAATTATTGAACGCATAATTTACACAAAATTAAGACGTTTCCCTCAAACCTCTAAAATTTCTCACCAAACCGAGGAATGCTCTTAGTTCTACTGCACGCCTGCACCTGAAAAAAATACCATCATGGATAATTACTTTGAGTTTTTATTCATTAGAATAGAGAGAACAAGATTTTTCATTTTGATAAGTGTTCACTATATTCCACAGGTCACTTATTAAACGATTCTTGAGGTCAATGACATGCAAAAATAGGATGGAAATCATAACTATCTTTTGTATAGGAAATAAGATTCCGATTTAGTTCCAGTTATGTCATCCTTTAAAAAGGTAGCTAGGAATTTCTAGTTAGATTTCATAGAAAGTACATATTCTGGGCAACACACTACCAGACATTTTCCACCTTTGCCCAACTATGTTGTATCTTACTTAATCACTCCGAGACAATATCGCATCTGGATCGAATGTACATCAGTTCAAGTATCCACATTACATCAACACAAAAAAAGGAAATTACCATGATGAGAATCAGAGAGGTTGAAACGATAACAATAATATTGCTGATAGTGAAAGACAAAGTGAAGGCAAACAATTTAGTTGGATGGAACGAATTAACTCGTCGAGCATATTACACAGATATTAAAATTCAAAACCTAAGGGGAACTAATGACTAGACAAATTTGTGTAACTGCTGTTGATTTTAAGTCATGTTACTCATTGTATTCAACTGTCAGTTACAATAATCGTGTGATCCTGGACCGGGATATATGCACCTCTATACGCACCTTAACATATTACATATTGCTTTGGATTTCTGTGAAACATGGCCGGTAGGAGTAGAGGATATCTGTAGGTTACTAGTATTTGATCATAGGTGTCTTCGAAATATTGCTCGCATATCCTGGAACCATCGAGTAATTAATGCAGTTGTTAGGAAACGGGTACTAGGTGAGGATGGCAAACCGATTGATGACGTAGTGAAATTTTATCAGTTGAGATGGCTGGGACATGTGTTACGTATGCCCAACGATCGACTGCCTCGACGTGCGATGTTCAGTGGTATAGGAGTAAATTGGAAGAAAGTTAGTGGCGGCCAGACCAAAACATGGCACAAGTCCATGAAGTCACTGACAAGTGGACTGAGTCATGTTGTTAGGTGTAGACTACCTTGTTGGGGACCGCGAGATGATAGCAACGGATGGTTAGAGACCCTGAATGACATGGCTCAAAGTCGTTTGCAATGGCGCAGGTGCATACACTCTTTGTGTTCACCTAAATTCTAATCTTCTGAATTCTTCATGTCCTTTCTTTTTTCCCTTTCCAAATTTATTTCACTGGATTATGCTCCTCGAATAACATCTTCAAATCTTAATTTTCCTGATTACAGCTTATAATTTTACTACATCTAGCACTACGGGATTATGAATCGACCACTGCATCTCTGTGCTAATGTGGTGTGGCATTTCGAACTGATGTACGTACGTACGAAGTTCTACGTTGTTACTGACTGACTGACTTTGGATTTCTGTGATTTTCCCCAACTTATTTCGATCCCAATCACTATCATGCGTTGGGATAGATGGAAAATGAAATATAATTAACCAACGTCCAAAGCTTCTTGGGCAATAAAAATGAACAGCCCTAGTAACCATTTTGTTACCAGTGCTTAGTACTCTGCCCAACTATATTACAAATTATCATATTGAGCTAATCCTTAAAAACACGCAACATAATTAAACTCGATTACAAAGTACGAGTTTACTTACCACTAGTGATGTCACCTACCTAACCAAACCGGAGTAGGTGAAGCATTGTGGTTATGAGACGTAAGTTCTTAAACCCAACTACTTAGGCACTAGGTCACCGTTACGAGCACGCATACTGTCGAATATTAGTAATCCATGAATGTCGTTTCAAAATCATTAAGTTACGTAAATCGGATAGCTAAATGATTTGCTCTTGGATTGGAGGTTGATGAACAAAGTGGTGTAAACTATTCCGGTGACCTAAGAGTTTTTAATAAACTAAAAAAGCATATTTTACCAGCTGAATTGGTTTTTGTTTAGCATTGTGTACGTAAAGGTATCTCTTGGCAGTTTGATGGTATTCGACAGTATAGACAGATACGACGACCGAACATCTTTACAAACCAAATTGAGGGGCTTCAAGACTGAAAGGATGTGATAAATACCTAACCCGGAAAACAAATAGGCTTAAAAGCTTCGATAGACAGACGAGATAACTTTCGGAAGTTTTACCAACACATGGAAACTAGAATAAACGCACACTAAGAAAAACCTCAGGCGAAGCACTATCAAGTGTATGTTCTTAGTATTCGGAATGATTAATCTATGCTTAAGACCAAACTATCTGGCTGTGAACTCGACACGTCCTGGCTGTATTGATATAACTAAACGCAAAATCTCATGTTTCATTTCCCTTAAACCTTCACATAAGAGAATGTCTGTAGTGAGTCGGGAAACCAAGATTGCTTTAAATGAAAATTCGGGTTTAAAAAGAATGAAATCTTAATCCAATTTAGATCATATAACACTTAAATTGTCATTGAGAGAAAGAGATAGGACTTTAGTTCTTCCGCTATTGTAAGCTAGGCTAGAATTGGTAGAAGCGAGCTATTCCCATACTAGCTTTACGTAAAATTCGTGAGCGAAAGCCTTATTATAACAATGGAAATAAGACATAAATAGAAGGTAACGTCTTCCTGTAGTATCTGTCCATGTACATACGGTGGAATACCAGATTAAAGGACTTACGGAAGAATTTTGAACGGTTTCCGATTGTTATGGGTGAGTTTCTTCGGCAAGTTAGCACAATTAGATACGAAAAAATAACACATGAGGACATATGAACAACAGGCATCTGGAAGGGCTTTTTGAAAATAACACTTCCTTTAGCGGTACACTTAGTGTTTTCAGACTTCAACTTTGCTTGTTTGAGTTCATGAACTGTTTGTTCACTGGGATCTGTGTTTGAGTAGGGCAAACAGTGAAAACAGTTTTGAGCAATTCTGCAGTCAGTTTATCAACTTTTATCGAAAGAAACTCCAAAAGCGTTATACCTAATTGAATGCAGATTGTAAATGCGAAGAGACATCTAATGTAGCAAAAAGGATGATGACAAGTCCTTCTGAATTATGGAAAGTTTGAAGATGGAATCTCTCAGAAAGAACATGGTGGGCCCGTTATCACTGTTGTTTACCATTAGAATTCTGAGTTTATTGATATTAATAGGGAAGGAAATTTTTAATAAATTAGTTTTATGTCCTACATTCAAGAAGATTTAAGATGTCACCTAGCTACCCATTTATCTCCAGCTCTTGAGATGGCCAGCGTAGAGGAATTTGAAACTATAAATGATTCCGAATTTATATTCGGTATATCAAGTGAAACATGGTCTCTTTTGTCATAAGCACGAACGGGGACATTTTCATTAGTCAACGCCTGTAATTAAAGTGGTTTATTATTTTATTCCACAGTTTTCCAGAACATAACATGTAGTGTTATCAAATACAAAACCACGTTATCAAGCGAGAAGTGTACCTCCAAGTCCACATTAACCATCTAC